ATCAAAAGTTTCCATAAGACTGCAGTCTCTTGAAACTCCATGTAAAATGTAGGAAATATTTTCTTTTAAAAAATTAACACAACAGGTGTCTGCTGTCTGTAAAAGATACCAGATTTATAGGTTAATTGTAACTGAATGTAAAATATCCTATGTTCAAAATTTTAAAATCCTACCGTCCATATGTTTTTTGATGAGATAAGGTTGTAGTTCCATATGTTTTTCTCTTCCAAGTTATGGCTGCAACTGCAGAATCTCCACTTCTGATTAGACATATTTGAACTGTATTACTTTTAATGTTTCTTTAAAGTGAAGAAGTCTGCCATTGTCAGTAACTATCAACCAGCTTTTGAGTGAGTGCCTTTTTGGTAGATATGTTTGTTTGAGCAATGTGAAGATAATATGTGAGAGAGACTTTGGATGCACAGCTGTAAAGCTAATGCAGATTACTCCCCAATTAACCTCATCAAGCTACAAATTGCTTTGCCACTTTTCTCTGGCTGCTGTGCAAATTAATGTCTATTAAATAAAAAAACTAGGTGCTAACAAAAAAATATCTGTACTGAATCTGCAGAATTTCTGCAGTTCACACTGGTGACAGTTAAAGGCAATAGAGGTGACACATTTACCTTAATAATCTGCTGTTAAGCACAGAGTAAGCCCAATGGAAGTTTTCATATTTAAGGGTACAGTACCTGTATTTTAAAATACCAAAACAACCCAGCTACAACATTCTCTCAAAATCTTACACATCCTGCCAAGGAAAATACACAGGTACCATAGGGATGTGCATTTTCCCTACAGGGCAAAGAGCAAAAGAGTAAACAGTTCAGGAGGAAAGCAAAATAGGAATGATTGTATTTCTTCAGTGCTAAGGTGCACGTTTTCCCATATAAGCATCTCTAAAATTGGGTGCGACTTAGAATTGCAGGTGCTTCCTATACATCCACACACATATATATAAAGCTTTTTTTCTGGTTAGTGATACTAAGAGAAATCAAAGAAATGTAGTATATCCTGCCCAAACGTGGGAATCAAGGTGGCATGCACAAAACAGATACAGTATAACTAAAAGTTCACATCACTAAACATATACAGATGTTACAATATACAGCCATCCCTCCAAATTAGCAGGGTTGACTTTTGTAGATTTGATTATTCACTGATTTGATTTAAAATATTCTCTCAGTCCAGCCCCTTGCCTTTCTGGTGGGGGTGGTGATGGCCAAATACCCACCCATGGCTCCCTACCCTCCCACCCCCCCCCACCCCCAATATGGTAAAGGCTTCAGGACGGAGACACAAGGCTTTTTTGGAGCTCCTGTCATGTCAAAATGATGCCAGAGCTCTGGCACTGGAATGTCCCCTTCCCTTTCCAAAGCTCCTGGCACATCATTTTGACACACCAAGTGCTCTAGAGGAGACTTGTGCCTTGATCCTGTCCTAGAACTTTAAATTTTGGGGTGAAACAGAGGAGAGTTTGGATTGCTGTGAGGACTGGCCCCTGGAATCTCGCACGGCAATCCCAAGAGGCAGTCCCAACAGGTTTGCATCTTTCTAAATATTTGTTTAGCCCAGAATAAATATGGATTTCCAAATTGTGCCCCTGGTTAAACTTCATTTGGACACCTTCAGCTAATGTGTCTCCACACTGCATTATAAAGCAGTGTAGACAGGGCCCTAAGAGTGCATCTACATTGTTGAATTAATGCTATGGCTCAATGCACTGGAATAATGGAATGTGTGGTTTGATGAATAAACCAACCCTCTTTGGTAGAAAAAGTTCAAAACTTTGTAAAACTACTACTCCCAGGATTCCACAGCATTGAACTGTGGCAGTTAAAGTGGTGTCAAACTGCATTAGTTCTACAGTGTAATAGATGATCTCTTAGTTAAAAAATAGCAATTTCTTTATTTGCATTTTTTAAACTTTCAGGGGAATCCTGTGCTCCGGTGATTTTGGAGTGTTGATAATGTGTTTTTTATAATTTTGTGAATCTCATTTCTTATAATGCTGTAATATAATTCATTTTCACCATGTCACCGTCATTCCCCATCCCACTCCCATCCCAGATAGGGAGATCCTAATTATGATAACTGATATCTCATCCAGTTTGGTCCTGTAACAACATTTTTAGGTTCCAAGCCAGGGAGAAAAATGAGTGGAATGGTGCTCCCATCGTCCCTGTCAACTGTTTAGATTTGATACATCAACTTACCCCGAAAGGCCAAATAAGACATTTCCCCATTCCTCTTCTAGGTTCTTCTAATGATGCTTTACAAGTAGGACTTGTATCTGATCCTAACCAAGTTTACTCAAGAAGAAACTCTCCTATTTTCAGTAGGATTTACTTTCAAGTATGTGATTTGGGCAGGGTGATGCTTCATGTATTATGCATTTGCTACAAACTTACTGGCATATTGCTTCAATAGTGACAATTTTTGCATATGCATCTAATACAGGAATAGCAACTGTGGGAGGCTAAGAGGCCACATAAGCCCCCCAGCAGCCAGATCTAACTACAAAAAAAATGCCCCAAAATATCTCTCAAAAGCCTATAGGGACTGTGAGGAGCATTTTTGCCATACTTTTATGTCCCTGCCCCCACCCCCATGCCATTTTTGAACTTTTCCTCAAAACAAGACAGAATCAGAAGTCATGTTCAATTTACAGAAAGGCACTTCGTAGATCTAAAATTGCCTTGGGAAGTGAAGGGGACATAGCAAAACGTTCCCTGCAGACCCTAGAGGGCATTAAGGGACAAGATGATTTTTTTAAAAAAATAAATAAAACAATACACATATTTTTAGATTATTGGGAGTCAGTGCAGCACTTTGCTGACCCCTGATTTCATGTAAAGGTTAAATAATTATGCAAAAATGTGTTCTAGCAAATGATTTAGGAAAGATTTAGGAAATGAGACAAGCTTTTGCCCCTATACTCAGCAAGATCAACACATTCTTAACTTGAATAACGGGAATGAAGGTCCATTAAAATCTATCTATACACAAAATAAAAGTGAAAATATGTATGTGTGTATGAACATATGTGGCTAGGGTGCCCATTTCCACAGGCAGGTTCCCATTTACACAAACAGCTATAGCTCCCACAACTCAGGAGATATCAAAGCCCCCCCCCCCCCCTTCAATGACATTGCAGGTTATAGCGAACGCTGTGAACATGTAGAAGAGCCCTGCCAATGTCCTCCACAAAAACCATACTTCCCAGCACCAAGTAAAGGTTTTCACACAGGGACCATTTCATTCTAGATTTTCTGTTTTTTTTCTCCACTACAGTCATCCCAGTGTTTCTTACTCTCTCCATTGGTGCGGAATTTACATGACCCTCCCCACTGCCTCTCCCTTAACCCTTTCCTATTCTTCTCTATGGCACACAGCAAACAGAGAGAAATTGATCAGCAACTGAAAATACTGGAGGGGTTTGAGGGACTGAGTCAATGTGACGGAAGTTGTAGTTCACCCTGCACAATGGACTGGGGCCACATTTGGCATACAGAACCCTTATGATCAACAAAAAAATAATGGAGGTCTTTGGGAGGGTATATAGGAGGATATATATACCGAGAGCACTGTGAACCTAATTTGGACCAAACTTGGCACACAGACAGAATGTGGCCAAGTTTGAAATTTTGGGAATTACAGTTCACCCACATCCTTATGCATTTTATAATGGGAGTATTCATATAAAACAAAAAGAAAGACTATTTTCTCTCTCTCTAATAAATAGTGTTACATATTAGCAAACCAATATTACCTAACATCCAAAAACAAAAAAACAATGCCTGTTTCAAATAACCAGGGCATCGCTGGGTCCCTAAGTTAATATATGAATAAAAGACAGCAGGAAACTGAGTGATGCTTTAGGACTATTCTGACATTTTCATTGTCTGCTTGTCTCTTGTAGTAAGACAGGAATAGGAATCATGTAGCCATCATTGGATTCTTAGCCATCATACGAAGTGGTGAAGAATGCTAGGAGTACAAGCAATTACACAGGAGAACAAAACTTTTCAAAAGTCTTCTGCTGAATCAAATTGCAAGATTTTAGACATGTTAATTCTTTTCAGGCTAAGTGTTGTTTCTATGCATTTGGCCATCAATCAAGCCACTGACATAGGGGTGAAACTGAGCATATTTGTAACCATTCTCCAAGATTGTTCAGACCCAACTAAACATTCAGGTTTCTATGTATTGTCGAAGGCTTTCATGGCTGGAATCACTGGGTTGTTGTAGGTTTTTTTCGGGCTATATGGCCATGTTCTAGAGGCATTCTCTCCTGACATTTCGCCTGCATCTATGGCAAGCATTCTCAGAGGTAGTGAGGTCTGTTGGAACTAGGAAAAAGAGTATATATTCAGGTTTCTGCTGCGAAAAGGGAAGCTATCTCCTCCCGTTTACTGAGATGGTCAAATTGTGCAGGCTTTTGGACAGCAAATAGAAGGGCCACAACCTGGTTTGTCTGCTGACCTTTAGAGTAAGATTTAATATTTTGGATACCCTCAGCCTTAAGTGGTCCTGGTGCAGTTTGCAGGAGACATATAAGGAGTCAATGGTAACATATGAGGAATAAATTGGGGAAATTCCCAACTTGTTTTGAACAAGAAGCCAATCCAGCCATCTTATGCAACAAATTAAACAGATAATTTGGATAAATTGAACAGAGTGGGATATCTCTATCTAGTGTTTGGATGTGATTAACCCTTTTTAATAAAGCCAGGCACTTTACCCACAGTTCCACTTGTGAAGAAGACAATACATTTAAGCATGATGAGAAGACAGAGGTATGTCATTATAACATTCTTAGTTAGGTTATTATAATCAGTATACCATTATTTTGAACTTGCGGCAAGACTGTAAGAGAAGAGTAATGGATATGATGGCACAGTAGCTTTGAGGGTGCACAGGGCTGTGTGAAAAGGAGAAAGCTTGAATAGGTAACATTTGAAACTAAAGATTGAAAAACAGAAAGATTTGAGAACTTACCACAGATATTAACATGTCTAGGTACACTCAAGGGGAAGAAAGGCCACTCTTCAGGGAAAAGGTTGGTTGAATTGGGATGCCTTCTATTTGGTCAGGCTTTGGCTGAACTGAGCAGGTTTGAAAATGCAGAGGTTTAGCACTCTGATTTTCCCCCAACTATACCAAGGATTGAAAAGAACAGAGATGGTGGCATGAGAAGTTCACAGGAAACAATGGCAGGAGGAAAGATAAGTAAAAATTACTGGATTTAGGGTCTAGTAAGGCTGAAAAGGCTGATTCAAATGATGGTATTATTGTTTAAAATCACATGTGTACAGTATTGAAACTATTAAATATGATCGAGAACTCCAAATGAACACCCTAGCTGGCCACTCCCTCTCAGCTGTAAATCTCTTATAAAGGTGCTATGAAAGTTGGGACAACTTTGAACAGTAGGAGTACTACATGTTTAACTATAGCTATAAGTTGTTCATCTCTTATTTGGAATTCCAAAATTTCAAATACTCCAAATTGTCCACATGGGTGACTAACATAGTGACAGATGATTTCTGATGGTTCAATGTACGGAAATGTCATTTCATGCACAAAGATTTTTTTAAAAAATATTGAATTAAATTATCATTAGGATGTATGTATGAGGTGTGTATAAAACATACATGATTTTTGTGTTCCATCTCCAAGATATCTCATTATATATTCCAAAATCAAGAAAAAAATATAACATCCAAAACATTTCTGGTTCCAAGTGTTCCAGATAAATGATACTAAGGCCCCTTTTTACATTGCCCTATATCCCTGGATCTGATCCCAGATTATCTGCTTTAAACTGGATTATACAAGTATCCACTGCCAGATAATCTGGAATAATCAGATAATTTGGGATCAGATCCTGGGATCTCGGGGCAGTGTGGAAGGGACCTCAGCCTTTACTGTTGTATCTGACCATTATTTCACCTAGATCAGGATAGTTATGTGCAACTTTCCAGGTGTTGCTTGACTGCATCGCTTAGCACTCCTCACTTTTGGCTATGTTGGCTAAATGTAGTGGAAGTTGGATTCCAGTAATATCTTTTCCCACGTGTAACTGATCGTGTTGCAAAATTATAGCAATTTGATACCACTTTAACTGCCATAGCTTCATCCTGTTAAATCCTTGGTTTTGTAGTTTACTGTGGCACTGGAGCTCACTGACAAATAATAAATATTTCACAAAACATTGAGCCATGATAGATGATGTGGTGCCAAACCACAATAGTTCTGCAGTGTTGATACAGCCCTAGACCCTAACCTGCCCTTTTTACTAGATCCTTGTCCTCGAGCTACATGCCTTTGTTTCTTCCTAAGGCAAAAAGTATGCATTGATATGAGTTTGATTCTACCCCTGTGATCTCCTAAAGTAGGTCATGCTGTTGCTTCAGTTTTGCAGGTAAAGACATATAAAACAAGAGTCTTACATTGGAAGTCTTTAACTAGTTCAATACCTATGCACTCTGGTGTCCATGGTATAAATTTTGCCACAACAGTGGAAAACCATCCTTTGATTTTAGCTATGATGCAGTTGTTGAACATCCATATTATACCAAAAAGGGCCATATTATGCCAAATGGGAGATTGTAATTTCTGGTAATTTTTGGTATCTGGGGATTAACAATTGTATCCTGCCACTATTTTAAATGAAAGCATGTGGAAAGAATACATCTTGTTTAACAGTCAAGTTATGTTTCAGGGGAGGCTTCAAAACAAGTTGCATGCTCTCTGTGCACCTTGTTTTAAAGCAAGTGTAGGGGTATTTCACTGCCACAGCACCAAAATTCAGTAGTGTAGCAGCAAAAGTGGAGGGGCAGTAGAAGAAAGAAAAGAACAGGTCTGTGGCCCACCTTAAAATAGGTTTAATTGGGTATTTAGTTAGCTGCAATGCTATGGCCTACTTTGAATAACTAGTCCCAATCTCGGTAAAGTCAGTGACATACTTACTGAATGGGACATTAATACAGCAATATATCATATCTGTTGTGTAGTCCTCTTCTGAGGAGCAGAAGGTAGAACAGGAGGCTGGAGATGTAGGAGTTGAGGATTTGGGGCGAAGTGTTGAGGAGGAAGAAGAGGGTGAGGAAAATATACTGCTGGTTCCTATGTTTCCAAAGGGTGAAAGAAGGAATGCCAAAGGGTGAAAGAAGGAAAGAGAAGGTCAGCTAGCATTGCTGCAAGGATGCTGAGCAATCAGACCTCGTCCTAGGAACACCTGTACTGGGAGCTGAGGGCTATAAATCAGCACTAAAACAAGTGGTCAATGCTGGCAGCAACCATTCTACTTACTTATTCTGTGCTCTGGTTTCCTTGCTTGCAGCTCCAGCGTCTGCAAAGTGCCTTGCAAAGACTTTTTGCCAAAGATTCTTGTTTCATGTCTGATGTAAGACTCTTGCTTTGGATTTACCTGCTGTTCCTTTGCTGCTGTTTGTTACATTATTATCATTTTGCTAAGTAAAGCTTTTTAGTTGCTTTAACCCTTGTTGTAAGGCTGATTCTGAGGCAAAACAGGACAATATCAGATATGGTCTTGTTCAGATTAGTAACTAGATTTAAGCCCCTGTTTATTTTGTTATTAAATTTAACTGTTTGATTAATCCATCGAATGTACTCTAATTCTGAGTAAAACATGCCATACCACGTTACTACCTCAGTTCTTTTGGTGGAGTTACTATAAAAATGTATGGTGACCTTCTCAAGGAGTTTAGTACCATAGAACAAAGAATGAAAGTGGCTAAGAAATATCCCTTTTCAATTACTTTAATAGAATGTGTCCAAGTTCAACTGCTCTATTAAATCATTGAATTGCAGTAGTGCTTGATCTTTAGATATTTTTGGAGGGAGTTGGTGCATCAGTACAGTTGAAACACTGCTTATCTTGCCAGTTCTGAAATTCAAAAAGTCATGTGGGAGGAAATAGCTTTCAGTCCAAGGCTGAACAAATAATCCATGAACTGAACACAACTGAATCTGATAAATTTTCAATTGACTGATATCTATGAATGCATTGAAAATCCACATGTTTCAAAAGTGGCTATGTAAACATGCACATATTTCAAATATGTGCAAAAGACTGCCTAAACATGCTTTAAATCAGGAATGAGAACTAAAGTTCTCATTCTATATCCATTCCCCAGAATTTTTTCCAGCCCTTGTCCTTTCCAAGCCCCACCTGGAAAAAGAAAAATGCAATTTTCATTCCTGAAGGCCCCCAAAATTGGATATTTCTGCCTAAAAACATCCAACTATTAGACAGTTCTACTTAGCCTTCTGTCCCCACTATTATTCAGCTGCTTTTACTATGTCTTAGTTTCTTTCTTCTCACCTAACTTGTCTCCCAGTTTAGGTCCATTAATGCAAACTATTAACTCAGCAGGAGGGAGAGGTGAGGGCAGAAGCAGAAGCAATCTACTGCAGCTTCTCATAACTTGTGTGCTCTTTCATATTAATTACTTTTGCCATTTTGACTGCATTCTTATGTTGCTTGGCCACATGTGCCCCAGTTTTCATCTGTGAAGTGTGAAAACAAGGCTTAGGCTTGCTGCATCTTCCCTCCACAGTATTCACCCTTGAGATATTACAATAGTATCTGTATAGTTGTTTCGTGTGGTTGGGGGTAGGATTGGGGAATAGCAGTGTAGATGCAGCCTTTGGTGGATCCTGGACCCTCCAGACCTCTAGGAGCAATGGTGAGGGGTTCAGGTAACGTTGTCAATGTAAAATGTGCACTCCCATTTAGAAAAAAAAATATGGTTCATGAATAGATTTCAATAAACTGAAAGAAGAATTCAGCAAAACCTGGCAGAGACCAAAAACAGAGGCTGGAAACAGAGGGTGACAATGGATGCCGGCATCATAGAAAAACTCATATTGTAGGGCAAACCATGATGCTAGAGGATCCTTAGCAGCAACTGAGTCATTGTAGTCATCTTCACTTTGACAAGAATACAATTTCTGTCCCCGAAAACAATCTAAAGGCCTCAAGAAATCCCTCAGATTCTATCAGTCTCCAGAAGCAAACCATCTTAACGTGACATGGAAGTTACATAATAAAGAAAATGATAATATCAATGTTCAATTAATATCTGTCTCTTTGATTACACTTTTCCTTAGGGCATGGCATAACATGATTTCAAACCTAGCCAGTGCCCTTGTGCCTCTTGCATAACTGAGCAAAGCAAACTTTCGTGTCCCTAAATCAGGAGAGAGAATATGATTGATAAACAGAGGCAAACATATTGCAACATCAGACAAAAAACAAGACTATATTGTGTGCCTATAAGCTATTTCTGACTTATGGTAACCCTAAGATGAATCCATCACTGAGTTTTCTTGGCAAAATTTGTGTTTGTCTTTCTTTGAGGCTAAGAGAGTGTGAAGTACCTAAAGTCAACTGGTGGGTTTCCATGCCCAGAGTCATAGTCCAAAGTTCAAGTCACTACAGAACTGGTTCTGTCAGTTAACATGACTACTCACATATTATTTGATTTTGGGAAGATGTAAAGGTTAAATGATTAATTTGTACAATGAATTAAAGCATAACTCTCAAGAGTCTTATGGGGCCATTTGTGATTTCTAAAACAGTGGTTTTCAAATGACAAATCTCTGCTTTTAGTAGCTTTCAACTACTAAAAACACCAGCCAGCTTGACTAATGGTTAGGGCTTCTGGGAGCTGAAGTCCCCAAAATTATCTGGAGCACCTAAGCCATGAGTTTAGAACATTTCTATCAACCAACATACTAACTACTAATTTTTCTTCAGAGCTTAGCAGATGTGTCCAATGTGGAACAGTGGTTTTCTTGCCAATTGCAGCTCAAGCATTACTATCAGTTAATTAGCCAAAACCAACCATTTCAAATTCTAGTTTAGTCCTCCAGGTTTTAAAAGATTCGATTCCCATCAGTTCAAGTGATGGGAATCATAGTCTAGGACTTCCTAAAGGGAAAAGACAAAGGTCCCCTATAACCAGAATGCATACTTACTATGATAAATGCTTAAGGTTTTAATGACACTGCTATTGTTTTACAAAAGTCTGCTGGGTATACAATTTAGCTCATCGGTACATTTAAGTTTGATAACACTTACCTAGTAGAATTCTTTTTCTAAGTTCTTTTCCCAGGTTCTTCCTGCATTCAAAAGGGAAAAAAATCTGTAAATTTGTGCCCGCCAGATGAGCTGGACAGAAGCCTCTGTTATCTCAAACCGTCATGGCTGTGGAAGATGATGGTTGGGATCCAGCACAACTGAAGACTGCTAGGTTAAGAAAGGCTGCTTTAGTAACTTTGTATCCAGACTGATTGAAAAATCACAAATTTTTGTTCCTGTTTTATGCTGGGTTAGAATAAGCCAAACTAGAAAACCGGTATAAAAAGGTTTTGTTCATACTAGGAGTGTACAGAAAATATTCAGTCATAATCAAAATGTGTATGGATCTCCAAAATCACAAAGAATACAAACACCAGCTGGACTTTTTAATCACTCTGGATGTGCTCTTAGGCTGTTTGCCCATGACAAATGTAGAACAAACATGATCAATAAGCTGCAATTACAGAGGTAGCTCAGCAACTAATTCAGGGAGACCAAAGGCAATCTCTTTAACATTTGGCAGTGTCAGGTTGAAAGAGTGATAAACATAGCATTACACACCAGCTGGGATTTACATTTATCAGTGCACATAGCAATTAGCAGGGACACCACATTGCTCATGGAAAAAAGGTCACCTAAAACGTCTGCTGAGAACAGGAGAAGTTGGAGGCTAATATTTAAAACTCAAAATTGATGTATATCTTAAATGATGTTTTACAATTGATTACCTTGATGGTCAAAGTATTTTCCCCCCCTGACAAATTCAGAATAAGTATTAATGAAGGCCGCTGGAATACAAACAGTTTTAATTAAAAAGGATTGTTGAGAGGAGTGTTGCTCTTGCCTTCCTCTGAGGCTGAAAGAGTGTGAGTTGTCCAAGATCATTCAGTGGCTTTCCAGAGTCATAGCCCAGTGTGAAAACTACAGCACCATGCTGCCTCTTTGTCAAATATAGCCCTTTGTTAATTCTAGTCCAACAACAATTAGTTATGCTTAACACAAGGAATTCATTCAGAATTAAGTGTGACTAACATTGCTGGATTGGAACTTGTGACCAAAGTTGTGACTCACTAAAAGTAGCCTATTTAAATGGGAATATGTACCACAACAGTAATTTAACCTTTAGAACAGGGGTTGTCAATCTTTTTCAGCTGCTCAGCTCTTTTTGAAGGAAAACTTTCTTATGGAGCCCCAAGAAATGTTTATCAAACATTTGGACACGGGGATTGCATTGAGTTTTAAAATTTGACAGATGGGCTGGGTCAGTGGCAAATAGATGGAGAGTGTTTGTGTGAACTAATTGGGAAAAAATGAACAAATTCCTATGCACACTGCACATATCTCATTTGTATGCCAAAACAAAAAGAAAGAAAGAAAAATACAATATTGAAAATGAAGAAAAGTTTTAACCAACATAAACTTAACAGTATTTCTGTGGAAGACCCCCAGAGGCCATTCAGTCCAACCCCCTTATGTCATGCAGGAAAAGCACAAAGTGGCCCTGGCAGATGGCAATCCAGCCTTCATAGTAATAGTAGTAGTAGTAATAGGAGCAACTCTGTAGTAACAGGAGACATCCAGTCCAACCTCCTTCTGGCATGCAGGAAAGGCTCAATAAGAGCACCCCCAACAGATGGCCATCCAGCCTTTGGAATAATAATAACAACAACAACAACAACCTTAGCGGCTATCCACTCACCCCCCTTATGCAATGTAGAAAAAGCACAAAGTGACCCTGGCAAATGGTAATCCAGTTTCTTTAGTAGTAGAAGAAGTAGTAATGGTAATAGGAGCAACCCCAAGGGCCATCTAGTCCAACTCCCTTCTGGCATATAGGAAAAGCACAATCAAAGCACACCCAACATATGGCCATCTAGCCTTTGCGATGATGATGATGATGATGATGATGATGATGATGATGATGATGATTTCTCTTGTTCTCTCTCCTAATCTGCCTGTTTTGTTGTTGTTGTTGGTTTTTGTTTTTGTTTTTAGTTTCATGCAAAGCACAAACCTTTGGGACAGTTACCTGTGTCTTTTGTAGCATGAATGCTAGCCCTTTAGCCAGCCATTATTATGGTTTTTTTTGGGAGGGAGGGAAAATAAAAATTAATTAATTAATTAATTAAATAAAAGGCATACTTAGTAGGACATAGGACAGAAATGAGGATTTATGGAAAATGCGTGGAAGACAGATCGCAGGACCATAAATTATTAGAGCTGTGCCATTGCATTAATGCACAGATATGCAACATTGAATGCTTAAAAACCAGTATGTTTTGATTCCTTATACTAATATGATTGTGGTGAGATGGCAGCTGGTATGATAAAGCCCTTAAAGATGCAAACTACTACTGAGTAAATGCCACTCATAATAAATCTTTTGTAAAACTGCCATGTATATTATGCCACATATATAAACTAAGAAATAATCTCCAGAGGAGATAGTAGAATAGCTACAAAGAGATGCATTATTTAACTCACAAAAGCTCTTTGCACACATGTGAAAAGGAGACATTCAGCAGCAGATTAGAGTTTGTATGAGGGTGTATATTTGCTGAAGTGACATACAGCACAATGACCATATCCATGGGACAGCCTGATAAGCAGTTGAACAAGAATGGGTTTCAGGTGGAAATATATGTAATCTCAATAAGCCGTATTGTGCACATCCCTATTGTGAGGTTGGCAATACAAATCTCAAGACTTTGTAATATAAAACAGTTGAGTAGTGAAGCAATCTGCTTCGGGCAGCTTCATGATAAAAACATGAACAAGTAAGAACAGGATTATGTGTTTAAGGGCCCTTCCACACAGCCATATAACCCAGAAAATCAAGGCAGAAAATCCCACAATATCTGCTTTGAATTGGACTATCTGAGTCCACACTGCCATATATTCCAGTTCAAAGCAGGAAATGTGGGATTTTGTTCAGCTGTGTGGAAAGGGTTTTTTAAAATGCTGTTTCTGGCTGGAAGCACCCAGTCTCTGTTTCAGTCACGAGAATAGTTTTTGGACAACTTTTGCAGGAATCTTAAGGAACCATCAAATTAAGACTACAATTCCAGGCAGTAGCCTGTATTTCCAGCTCATTAAGCTAAAATATTTACCAGGGTTTTCTTAGTGTGTGTGATTTGTGGTGGGGGGGGGGGAGGAGGGGGGTTGGCTTAGAAGCCTGTTTTTCTGGTTACTTCACGTTAAAGATCTGCTCCCAGTCAAGAAATACTAACTGCTGAAGCAAAGCTTTCTTATATCATCTGTTAGTCATGTCAGTCTATCAAAAATAAGTCATATCGTACCTTAAAAATAAGCATCAGGTTTTGTGGACTACATCTAATTCACCAGCTAGAGTTCCTGGGCCACCAACACTGGCATTGGACAGCAAGCAGCAGGAGTAGTTGGATAGTTTGGTTACATTGATCGATACTATAGGATTGATGTCTTTTGACACTGTTTTAACACCCATGGCTCAATGCTATGGAATCCCGGAAGTCGTAGTTTGGGGAGGCACTAGCACAATTGGAAGAGAAAGCTAAACATCTTGTAAAACTAAAACTCCTTATCATTCCATAGTGTTCTGAGCCATGGCAGCTATAATGGTGGCAAATGGCATTAATTCTACAGCCAGCCGCAGTGAAATCAATTTTGTTTGAATTCCTCATTCCCCTTAATAGTCCTGCAACCATTCCTTCCTTTCCTCCTCTTGTCCCATTTTATTTATCTATGCCATCTGTTCCTTTGTAAGCCTTGTTTTAAACTGCAATTCTACAGTGGCAGCAAAATGTTATATGTGATTGTCTTATCTTATTAAATAAATGCATGCATAAAATGTTAAATAGGAACTGACATTGTCTCAGCATAACCCTTTATAGAGTGGAGAGTAATTTCAACAGGACTGATTTTCAGGTGAACGCATTGAAATCACTGTGATGAATAGCATTACAAGTTCAGAATCATCGTAGGGCACTTCCAGACAACGTCAAAATGTGGGTTTTAAAAGTGGGGCAAAAAATCCTGGGACCTGACAGCAAGTCCACACACAGACCTGTCAGTCCCGGGAAATGATCCCCCACTATCATCACATCTTCATTTGAAGCAGATCAAGATGGAGGGTGGACAAGGAACATCTGGAGGAAGTTTTTTTTTAAAAAAAAATATCTCCAAGATGTACTGAATCTCATATGCTCACATGCGGACATCCTAATGTACACACAAGCAGATTTCTATCTCTTTCTTCTATGCTTCCCTTTAGTCACCTGTGTGTACGTAGCTCAATTTTTTGACAGGCCAATCAGCTGTTTCACAATTTTAAAACACATGTTGAACATAACTTATCAACAATAGTTCCTTACAACTTGTCATTCAAACATATGCACATATAAACACAGAGAAAACATTTTCCTTTTTGGAAAATCACACCAAAATCATTAGGTAAAGGGGCTGTTTCCTGGTCAAAGTGAAATAAGAGGATTATTTTTTCCTCTTACTTTGGACGATAGGATAAGGAGCAGTTAATCTGCACTACTTGCTTCTAGCCAGAAATATGGATGCAAAGAGTGAATGCTGAAGCCTTTCCTTCTGCCTGTGGTTGAGGCCATAAAACTGGACAATTGTCAACCCATCTTTGGCTAGAGGTGATCCATGGAAACCAAAGATTCAATGCCAGGCCTTGAAAACTGACACATCCAAGCACTCACAAAAACTATCAGCTTCTGTTTGTTATGTTCATTGTGACTTTAAATTCAAACAATGTGAAACAATGCCATTACTAATTCAAAAGGACAGGTTTTATTGAAACAAACATCATTTATTTTGTACATATTTCCTGTTTATTAAATAATTATAGGGATAGGGTAGCTGTTAGCACTAATTGCATTGGTTATAGAAATCCCAAATGTCTCATAGATTCAAAGATAACACAGTCCAAAGATAGCCAAAAATCACAAATGCAGGTTAAGCCCACAAGCAAAAGATGTACCTAAAGTGCACGGTGACTATTAATAAACAGACATGAAGTCATTGTGTCTTCTATGGACTTTCGCAATCTGTTTTCCACAGAGCCTTGTTGATCTACAAAGCTGACTATCTGCCATAATCTGCAAACATAAATCCTTGCTTATCTCCACATTGCCAGGTGCTGTCCCGTGAGAGTTTTTTGCCAATTCGTCTTCACTCAAGCCCTTATCTAAGGATGTAGTTTCTGACTTCTGTGGCTGACCTTGGAACTCAGAGGCAATTGCATTTTCCTGACCTGTATCACTATCTGAAGCAATTGCATTTTCTTGACCTGTATCATTCCCTTGACCTTTATCACTTTGAATCCCAGGAAAGCCCACAATCGCTTCCGAGTGTAACTCATCGGTGAACAAATCAGTCTCTGGCTGAGCTACAAGACACAGGGGTACAATCAACCCCTTGTAGCCATGGATTCAACCATTCCCAGCTTGATTTTTTTTAAAACTAAAAATCAAAACTTGGTTTTGCCATTGTATGTAAGAGATGCAATTTTATGACACCACTGCATATAATGGAAAATGAGCATCCACAGATTTTGGTATCCAAAAGAGTGGGTGGTCCTGGAATCAAAACTCAATGGATATCAACAATCCACTCTATTAGATTATATGTACTCATGGCGCCCTTTATAAATGACTACAACCATGTAGGTCGCTAAATGAAATCTAATGAGGAAGAAAACCACAAACTAATTCATTGCATCACTTTGAATTATATTTTTCAAAAGTTTAAACTGTATTCCTTACCTGACTAGGAGAAAAGAGGAAAAAAACTCCAGGATGTTGAAAACAAGTATCTCAAAACTACAAGTAGAAGGCCTGAAAAAAGACAAAAGGTGTTATACTTCAGCGGCTTGTTTTGACTGAATGGTAGAATGGTTTTCTTTCTCACAAATTCGAGCATGGAAGCAAACTGTCTTATGATTCATTTTGTCAGGAGGCGCAGCAGCACTGGGAAAAGAAAAAAACTCGGGGTGTGCCCCAATTCATGGGCAAAAAAAGTCACGCCTGTAATTGGAGCATTTCTTCTCCTCAAGAGATCCACCCAGAGTCTATTTTGGCACTAAACCAGAAAATGAACCAATGAGTATCACAAATTTCTTCCTGCCTATTTATTCTGAACCCATCTCCTTTGGGTTTCGTGAGGATAATACCTGCATCCAGCCATGAGGAATTACACTGAGAAGGGTCTCAAGGAGGTAGGTCTCATTGAATTCAATAGGATCTATACGGGACTAAATGCGCTTGCTGCAGATAGTTCTTGATGTGTGTGTATGTGCCTTCAAGTTGCTTGTCAGGTTATGGCGACCCATGCATTTTACTGTATCATTTAAATTGCAAATTATACAGTTCCATGCTAGATAATTACCTCTCTATTCTTGCATCTTTGTAACATTTTTGTCTCTACTAGAAAAGGCGGTGAAATATAGTTGTAAAGGAAAGTTGTAAAGGAAACTGTAACACAAAAGGGAGGTGGATATTGCAAAAAGTTTTTCATTTAAAACACTTCTGCAAAGTAGCTAGCATGCAGTGCATCATTCTGTCAAGCATAGGACTGTTGTACAATACTCAGGATGGTGCCATTTTTTCTCTTGGAAATGATGCCTAATTTGTTTCCCAGTTTTTTGCAGAAAAATTAAACAATTATGAAAGTGTCAGTCTACCCAGTATCATGAAGCAAATATAATCTAAAAAAACATATAATCTAATCCGCCAGGGAAGACAATGGAAAGAGGTGTGCTACAGGCTTCAGGTCTAGGATTATTATTTTCTATTTGTTGACTGACCTAATCCAAGATAAAAAAAAAAGGCCCTTAAGAAAATCAAGGGAAATTGCATCCTTATTGTATGAATGTTTACTCAAATTCAAGGCACAGTGAGCTCAATGGAATGTACTCTCTAATAAGCATGCTTAGGACCACAATGTTGCCAAAAGATCTCTTCAGATATCCAGTCATTAGAAACGGATGTTCTACATGTAACTGAATGAAACAGAGCCAAGCCTGCCTTGACGTTCTCCTCTTATTTTTGATGGATGATCAGATGAAAGAGCTAGTTGTTATCTGTTTCTGGGCTGCAGCCTGGGAGACATAGTAATTACCCACTTCTCTCCTTCAGTTTTCAGAACCCACCTCCTTTTAGCCTAAAAGATCTACATTTTGAACTATCTGAGTTTGGGACTAAAAAAAATAATGAATTTCAGATTTGCTAACTTAATTACACTATTCACAGACAACATCAGTAGCACTTCCTACCTATTATTATACAGTATATGCTCATTTGTTTTTTCATGGAAAATGCTTGGTCACTTTAGCGACACAATCCAATGCATGTTTATGAGACCAATATTGGAAGAGGAATATTGGCCAGGTCAAAACACAAGTTTCGACAAGCTCTCCATTCCAGAAGTGAAGAGGCTATAGAGTTCCCTAGATATGCTCCTTCTCTTCACCACTGCAACTTGATTGTGTATTTTTGGCCCAGATACTAGTGGTATGAAAGAAAAGCTTGCTCTTTTAACCACTGTCTGGCAAACAGGGAATGATTACAATGATATGAAAGAGAAATAGGACACTTCCAGACAGCACCAAAATGCAGGACAAAGAAGTGGGTTTTAAAAAATGTGGGACCCCAAAGGGAGTCCAAACACAGACCTGCTAGTCCCACTGTATAGTCTCTCACTGTCCCGTCATCCTCACAGCTGTTATTTTTTAAAAGTAGATTAAGATGGAGGGCAGATGGAGGAGATCTGGTGGAAGTTTTTTAAAATCACTCCAGAGATGCGCATATGCAACTATGAGATAATAATAATAATTTATTATTAATACTCCCCTAGGGGACTCAGGGCTGTTTCCAAATAGCAAAACACCAACAAACAGAGTATGCAAAACATAAGCATAGAATTATCAAACAACACAAATACATTAAAATAAATCCCACCCAATTCAATGTAAAAGCATTTACATTCAACAAATATATTAAATGTTAATCAGGAACACACACACACACACACACCCTAAATTGCTCTGGGGCACATGAGCCAGATCATGGTATATTAACATTTCTTAGACTATTTCTGATGTGGGCTTCTCAGTGGGCTACTTTTCTTCAAGGGTGCTATAGTGCTACATTTATTAAAGTCAATGTGCTTAAAAAATGTTCATGTCCAGACTACTGCTATATGAATTACATTATTTACAGCATTGTAAAAAAGAAAAGAAAATTAAAGTCTGCCCTGAAAAATAGGTCACCATTTTCCCACGTGGAGTCAAGTTGGTATCAATTAAATATAGTCAAATCCATAGAAATCCATAGTAGTTCTATAATGACCAGTATATGATCCAGTGCATATCTGAGTGAAAACAAAAAGCTTCCCACAGATCTCTGTTTTCCCCCAAATGTTAATTCAAGCTCTGTTTAACATTACAAAGTGTAAAAAACAGAATTTGAGAGGGTTGTATTTGCTTTCCATTTGTGCTTCCCTGAGCCACCTGTGTCTCCATTTGACAGCTGATCAGCTGTCTCAGCCTTTTCAGAAATGCAAGTGCCCTGGAGGAGTCTGCACAGGGGGGAGGGAAGGAAAGCACATGTTTTCAATAACTGCTGGGATACACAGGCATGGAAAGGTGCATGTTTCTCAGGAAGAACAGGGTTTAAAGGGCACCTTTTAAAATGTGTTTTCCAGCCCTTAATCTGATTCCTCCTGATTCCTCCTCAACTTTGGTTAAATGCCATTTAGCCAACCCCCCCCCCCCTTTTAACCCACTTCCTCTTGGGTTTTAATGCATGTGTAGAAGGGTCCATAGATTGTAAACTGACAATTGAAATTTGCAATGATTTTCAAGCTGAATGGCGTGATCTTCATGGCATAGACTGTATAGAGATAGAAAGAATATTAGAAAATACTTTTACCAGTGGTTAAAAAGGAGAGTTGATGTTAGGCAACCATGATGAGAATCCTAAGTGGTGAAAATAATCACAGTTGAGGACTTATTTTTGCACACCAGAAATACATGTGGGCTTTTGCACATAAAACAATTATGCACAGAAAATACCATGCAATTTGTGTGGGTTTGTGTAAAAATTTTTTTGCACAAAATGAATCTCAAAACTGTGCAGTTCTCAATTCTTTTGCCACAACACTAAGAAAAATTGTAACATTATTTATTCTTGTAACAATGAAGATTTATATCCCTAGTGCTAATAATAACTGTTGTCCCTCTGCAAAGGTGATGGGAAGAAATGCAACATAAACAAAAAACCCAGCTACAAATGTAAGTATCTGAAAAGTTAGAAACCACATTTTGCTTGTTTTAGCTAAAGGCATAGGTTTGCAATGAACCTAAGCCCCTTATAGAACTTGCCTTGGAACAAAAGTGTATAGGAAAAGTATGTATCAGTTTATGGTTGTATTAAATCTTTTCCAAAGTAATTAAGATCTAAAGAGAGAGGGGGCCCATTTAAACTGACCATATAATGTAGTTCAATTTGCATTACAATAGTAGTGTAGATGGGTCCAGAACTGAACCTAGATAAATTAGTTCTAGACTAGCAGGGCAATTGGTTAACCAATTGGTAGAGAAAGTGCTGCAGGTTTTAAATAAAATAATATGGTTATTATGAACTAGAAATATTTATCTGCATCTTTATAGAAGACCGTGATTACCCTCTCCTTCAACTCTAAAATCTAATGTTGGAAGTGATTACAAAAAGCCAGCACGATATAGTAGTTTGAGTGTTGGACTATGACTCTGGAGACCAGAATTCAAAATCCACTGCTAGTCCATGAAAACCCACTAAAGAAACACCATCTGAAGAAATCTTACCAAGAAAACATGTCAATTCAGGAATAGTTTGGGTAAAGTAGGCCTTACTACATAACAAATATTAATTAGAGAATATTGTGCGTAGAGAAAACCCATGTACTATATCTACATATGTGGACTCAAGCAAAAAAAAGCCTAGGTCTCTATAACAAGCCTATACAGTTCTAAACAAATTTAAGTCCTTTGAGAAATTTAAGTCCACAAGAGCCATGTTTAAATATTTGAAAGAATGCCACACTGAAGAGGAGGTAAGCTTGTTTTCTGCTGTTCTGGAAACTAGGACACAGAGCAACTGATTCCAAAGATTAGGAAGAACCTCCTGACGGTAAGAGCTGTTCAACAGTGGAAAATGCTACTCTCTCAGAGTGTAATGGAGTCTCTTTAATAGGATATGGGAATCATTGAGGCTTGAGATGTTAGACTGCAATTACTAGTATTCCTCACTGTTGGCTGCGCAGGCAAGGATTGCTGGAAGTTGCAATCTAACAGCATCTGTCTAGGCTTTTTAAAGCCTAGACTGGGTGTCCATCTGTCAAGGGTGCTTTTATTGTGTGTTCCTGCATGACAGGGGGTTGGACTGTATGGTCCTGGGGTCTCTTACAACCCAATAATAATAATAATGATAATAATAATAATAATAATAATCATAATCATAATCATAATCATAATCATAATCATAATATACACTGCCACAAATACCATCTTCCTGTGACAAAGAATGGGTGGGATCACAAGCCTGAAAAAGTTACAGAAAGTGAAACAGGTCAAACTACTCCGGGATTTCCGAATTCAGACTGCCAGAGTTTTAGAGCACAATACTCCTGACTTCACGATCGTATTAAAAAACAAAGTATGGATCGTCAATGTTGCAATCCCAGGCGACAGCAGGATTGAAGAGAAACAACTGGAAAAACTGACACGAAATGAGGGTTTAAAGATTGAACTGCAAAGACTTTGGCACAAGTTAGTAAATTGGTCCCAGTGTTGATCGGCACACTCGGTGCAGTGCCTAAAGACCTTGGCCTGCATTTAAAAACAGTTGGCACTGACAACATTACCATCTGTCAGCTGCAAGAGCCCACTCTACTCGGATTTGCATGCATTATTCGCTGATACATCAAATAGTCCTAGACACCTGGGAAGTGTCCAACGTGCGATCAATACAAAAGCCAGCATA